CCTCCGTCTGCCAGGTGAATTCTTTCCCCCGGAATCTACTCCAGTAATCGACCCTCCAACATTCCTTCAACGTTTACGTGAGACCATGGGCAATATCTCGCCAACCCCAGCATCTTCGCATAACCAGCCAAGCTATTTTGTACATCCTGCGCTTGAGACATCTTCGCACGTATTCGTGCGCAACGATGCAATTAAGCCAACTTTAACACCTTCATATGATGGTCCATTCAAAGTTGTCAAACGAACACCGAAACATTTCACCATCATCTGCAATGGCAAACAATCAGTGATTGGAATCGATCGTCTCAAACCAGCATTTCTAATGCAAGATCCAACAACTTCCTCATCAACATCACTCCCGGAAGAAAGCTTACATCCCGTAAAAGAGCAACCTAAAACTACCAGATCTGGAAGAAAGGTTAAATTTAACCCAAAGTACTTATAACGTACCGATGGTACTTGGGGGGGAGTACTGTGGCGTTCCGACAGATACTTCAACTTCTATTCATGAGATGGCGCCACGTGTAAAATCCAGTTCTTAATCGGAGCAGCAAAGCGACATCTTTACTCACTCAGACTTCTCGTCGGACAAGGTACGCGACGCTAGCACGAACTGTGTTCCGAGCTCTGTGTTGATCTCTGCAATGTAATTTAAATTGTAATTTAGTATTTAATATATTCTTTTTTTATAGGAGATTGTCTACTCTTATTTTCTTTAATTATATCATGCATTAAGCACACGCGACCACCAAATATTGTTAGGAAAATTTCACACTGATGTTCCTGAATCACGTTTTGAAATGTATCGGCAAATGTCAGGTTCACATTATTAAATAAATGACCTACAATTATTAGAAAATGAGAAGACGCTTTTTTATAATTTCATCATCAAATATGAATGGTTCTCTTTTTACCAGATTATGATAAGGATTCTATTTATTTATGATAAGGATTCTTTACTTTTCTTTTCGAATATTAATTGATTATTAAAATTTACTTATTAATTTACTAATTAATGATTTTTTATAGAAAATGTTTCTATCTGATATTTTAGCAGTGCTAGTTTATGTTTCAGGTTATGATGCCATGATAAAATGCAATATTTGCCAGGACTTGTTGCAAAGTACTCATTCAGTAGATACAGCAGATGATATTTTTGGTTTTTCTTAAAGAATTAGATAAGGGGGAAATTAAAAAATTTTCCATCTGAAGTTACTCTATTAAAATCTTCAATTGTATATTTCTTATTTTGGTGAAATTCTTAAGAACATGGAAAACGCATTTCTTATGTCAGGAAAGCAAATGGATATTTTATATAAGTTATCTTGCATACGGTTAGTACACTATACAGTTACTTTAATTTAACAGATTCTTGCACTTGTGGAATGACTTTACTAACTCGGTTAGAAAATATGTTTGATAACTTGTAAAATAATGTTAAATAATTATACAAAATATAAAAATGACAAAATTATATAAAAATGTTCATATAAAAACGTTGAAAAATTTAATTAATTTCAGTTAATAACTCAATTGTTTATTTTGATTTATGCTTTGTTTCTGCATAGATTATGTATAATATGTAGCATGTATGTATATATGGTACAGCTCCAAGTTTTATGAATTTAATTTTTAATAGTGGTATAGGCCTGTAATTTGGGGAAATCACTTTAAAAAAAACCAAGCCTAATCACTTATCTCTTGGAATGCTTTGGAAAAAGTGATTCAACATAAAATTGGAACTGGTACAAATAGATGGCTATCCTTTTTTATGAATGCAATTAGCATTTAGCTCTTTGAAATTATCTTGAAAGATTTATTTATAGTATAACGTGCATGTAATTTCATCTTTATATTCAAATTTTCTAGCATTTAAGGAATTTTAATTCATTTTCCTGTTTTGATAAAAATTGAGATATGCAGATTTTATTAGTGAATGGAGTGAAGAGAGATGACTATGGGTATTTGACTTTTAAAAATTTATATAGCTGATGCGATGGTAGCGGCATGGAGTTACAAAATAATTCTTCCCTTAATATTTATTTGACTAGTATGAAAATCTAAAATTTGCATCCATAAATCTATTGAATTCCCCCCTTATGTGGATTTTATATTATTTTGGCAATAAATTTGATTCAGATTACATAAAGGAATTTCATTTTTATCAAAAATTACATAAATAAAGTTCGCATGAGGTGATTCTCAATGATATTTTTAGTTACATAATATTACATAAACGAAGTACAAATTGTTTAAAAAATTATTGAAGATATGCATTTTTACCGCCTGTAAAAATATTGCACTATGAAAAATTTAATGTTAATCATACGACCTACTCACGTTTATTAATTTTACTTATATTTATTTTAATACAAACTACTATTTTCCGTAAAGTTTAACTCCGGGATTATGGTAAAGAGATCGGAGATCGGAGATCATCATTCGTTAAGTGGTGTTCGACCCGAGGGCCTTTACCACTACATGTTTATCAATCCCCTAAGGACCTGTAAAAGTTCGTTAAATTCCATAAACTGGAAAAGTCCTGTGAACTTGTAATAAAAGTGCAAAGTCTTCAGTAGTGAAGAAGTTGATCAGGGGTGGCGACTTATATCGGCCACAGATGAAGTCTTCGTTGGATAAGCTATAATAGCAACTAAATTTTGGCATATCTTTTACACATTATCGTATATTTGACACAGTATCGTACATTAGTAAGATGAAAAGGATGATAAAGATGAAACAAAATCTAGATTAAATAGTTGAAAATAATAAAATATATACAAGAACTACCATCTAACATTATGATGTATAGTTCTGGGCCGTTTATGCGGCATGGTAAAGAGAAAGAAATCGACTATTTCGATCACGTGACCTTCCGAAACTGATTTCGCTTCAAGGCCATGATACAGTCGGCTGTGCTGAGTGAGTAATGACGTCGCTTTGCTGCTCCGATTAAGAACTGGATTTTACACGTGGCGCCATCTCATGAATAGAAGTTGAAGTATCTGTCGGAACGCCACACTTCTAAATGGAAAATCGTAGACTTTCCATTCGTTTTTTGGGAAGCTGGGAAGATTTTTTTTCACCTCTTACTTAAACCACTTTTCCTCGCTAGTCTTCTCTTTAATCCTCTTAAAAAAACTTCTCCGTCTTTTTCACAGTTAACTTTCCTCGCGGTTCTCTTTCCCTTTCGAAAAAATGCTCCTATTATTCAACTCGCCACGGGCGGTCGGAGAACTTTTCGCCTTCACTGAATAGCCTATCTCCCCCCCTTCTTTCGCTCCTCCATCCCTGGCTTCGAGGTTTAGTCGCAAGACTCTCTCCCCCCCGCCCATTCCCAAGGCATTAGCAATTACTGCGGTTTTCCGTAATACCTAATATACCTTTCCCAAGCCCTGGAAAAATAAAAAATATGTTTCCCGGCTGATTGTCTTCCATCCTTTCCGATTCCATTCAGGAATTCGCCTTAATCATCACCTCTCTCTCTTTCAATCTTGGATAACAAGTTGAAAGCAGAAAGAATTTCTCGTCCCTTGCGTGGACTTCTTATCCATTTCTTTCACAGTAAACCCTTAATGGTTTCGTTCACTTCCCTTTAGCCAATGCTCTTTCTTAATTACTTCAGTTTTCTTAACGAAGTTGTGGAGGTAATTGCATTAAGTTTCAAAGGTACTCCGGAAAATATCGCCTTGGGCCTTGGGAAGATTTTTTGGGACATGAATTTTTTGGGAAGCTGGAAAGCAATATTTTAAACACGCCTTATCTATTGAAGATTAATTAGCACTTTCTTTAAATAAAGGTAGTGCTGAAGTGGGAGGGTGCCCGGGCAGCCCCCTGGCTACGCGCCTGTGTTTACGAATTTTTAAGCTTCACAAAACTTTTTTTCCCCTTCTCCTTGCATAAACAGAAGTCATTATAGAGAACTGCGAAAGAAATTACTTTATATAAAAAAGTAACAGTTATTATTACTATTATTGTAACTAGGATGATAGATTTAGAAAAACACTTCTTCAGCTGCAGAAGAAATTTCAATTATATAGTAATAATTTAGTATACATGCTATGTTTATTTGTGATTTGATATTAAAAATGCAGTTCTTGCTTCAGAAAGAAATAGATTGAAGGAAAATTATAATCAACATATTTATTGGAAAATAGTAATGGTTCATTGACTATATAAGCATGAACAAACTTTTATATTCCAAATTAAATGCAAAATTTGTGTGTGTATATATGTTCTTTTAAATATTGAATATAATTATTAAAGAAAAATTTACTATAAGGAATTTTCAGTTTTCAGTGAGATTCTATCCTTACATGTAACCATTATGTACATTTAAATATTTTAAAAGTTACATCAATACCTTTGTAACAATAATTTTATAAGGGCATTTCAATTTTCTTTAGCGATATGAGAATATATAACAACTTCTAAAACTGTGTTCTTAAATTATGTTTCTTTTTTTAAATAACTTTTTGTAGCATTATTGCAATCTAATATTAAATAATTAATTATGGAAGAACATTGCGTGCCATTCTATTACGAATTTTAATAAAAAATTACATCTTCAAATACGGATCTTAAATTTTTAACTAATAAAACTACACGGATATTTTTTCTTACTATTCTAATAAAAATTAACGATATTGAATGAACTGTTGGATAAATAACAGTTTCTTAATTATTATCTGTACGAAAAAAAGGTGCCTATCTTAATATTAATTAACGCCATCGCCAGAAAAACTCGTTATTTGAAAATATTATTCTGAGTATTTGGCAGAATTTCGTAATATTTAATAAAATCTTTATTTAACGAAGTAACCAGTAAGCGAATCCTTACAAAAAAAAAAAAATACCGCACGATAAATTCAATGTTTAATTTATCTGTGTTTTTACTAAAAATAACATCAAGCGCATTTCTTGACAAAGGCGAAATAGATTATCAAGACGATACTGACGTCACATCCCCTTGAGAGCTTCATATCTTGAGTGCTACTTTTCCACCAAGGGTCAAAGCTCCAAGATGGAAGTAACGAGTCCTGCATGCGAATTTCTTCTTCTGGCAACCTTGTTTGTGAAAGCGAAAGTGCAGACGACTTGGAGCAAAGTATTATTTGTTTACTTATGATAATGACATGCAATTCTGCCTTTATTGCAACTCCGGTTTTCCCATTTTACTTTAATGAATGAAAGTGAAACAGGGTGCCGTCAGTTTGTTCACATGGTAAGTAATCAGTATTTACTATATATATGAAGGTAAGTTATTTTCTTAACTTTATTACTGGAATACATTTCTTAAGACAGATTCCGTTATTTTCCTGCATTGGAGGTAAGCTGTTTCTTTTCTAAAGAAGTAGGTCCAGAGAGTGTATTTTAATATCATTACTTCTGAGTAAATACTTTAATACCCTTAAGAAATGAAAATCATGACAGAAGTTGTAGCTGTATTTGGGTATAATAATACTAGGTTATATGATGTGAAGAAGATTAAATCGATGCTTGCAGAACAGAAAATTGGAATCGCGCTTTGTAAAGAAGGAATAACCAATGAAGATAGGAAGGTATCAGAGTATTGTTTTGATACTAAATTGCACGGTTCTCATCAAGAAATTGAACAGGCATATGCAAATTTGCAAACATGGCTCAAATCTCAAAATCTCTGTGTTATTGGAATATTACCTTTCTCTGATAAGGGTGTTGTATTAGGATCATATGCAGCAGAGAAAATGGGATTAACGTCTGATGATTATAGCACAGCTATTACAGGACTAGATAAACATGAATTTCGGATAACTGAAGCAAATACAAATACTCCGGTTTGGTACAAGAAACCAGTATTTCAAAAAGTATTGCTACCTTCTGATCTAATCGAGTTTTATAACAAAATTGGATCTGCAGTTTTCTTAAAGCCAACCAGCGAGGGAAATAGTAGAGGTTGTATTTTGGTAAATTCGGTAGAATACATAGATGTGGCATTGGAGAACATAAAGCCATATATCAAAACTGGTGCTATGGTAGAAGAATATTTTGGAGGTGGTCGGGAATTTAGCTTTGATACAATTGCGGGAAAATGTTGGATTACAGAGAAGGAAACAACTGCTGGTAATTATCGTGCTGAGGTTCAACAGATTGTGCCTGCCCCTTTATCTTCGAAAGAATATAATCGCCTAATTGAAGCAGGAAAGTTAGTAGCAAAAATGAGTGGATCCAAAAATGGCGCAGCCCACAATGAATTATTTTTATTTTCAGATGATACAGTAATGGCCATTGAACCTAATAGAAGGCCTGCAGGTATGCATATATGGGACTTAGCTGCTTCTGCTTTTTCTTTTAATCCATATGAACTTTGGATTAATTGGTGTCTTGGAAAATTGACAGTTATTGATGAAATACTACAACGAAAGCATTATACTGGACTTAGAATGGTTTATGCCAATGCTGAGGGAGTTATTTCAGACATAAATAATGAAGCTATTGATAAGATTAAGGCAAATTTTAAAGAACTTGTAGAGGTTAAACTGACGAAAAGAATCAATGACAATGTTCAGAAAGATCCAAAAGATAATTCTGAGTTTTTAGGTCATGTAATTGTTAAGCATAATAATCCAGAAAAACTAAAGTTTCTGCTTAGTGATTTATGTAAGAAAGTTGCTGAATGTGTAAGAATTGAACCAGTATGTTATGGGAGAAATGACTTAGTGCGAAAAATTCGTGAATATGCGAGCAAAGAGAAACTCTTAATCCTTGATTGTGCTTACATTAGTACATTTGTAGAGGAATGGTGGAATGATGCCAAACATAATACAAATGATGCAGAGAATAAAGAACAATTGAAAAGTCTGTTAATTGAAAAGTTTGTAAATGATGAGCAACGTAAATTAAGCCTTGTTGGTGTGAGCGGCCATCATATTTCAGGAATTGAAATGACTAGATTATTTCAAACTGATGACCCAAAATTGGCTTATGTTGTGCATGAAGCATTATCAGATTTAGCAGGCATTAATGATATTAAATATCCATATGAAGACCATAAAATACTTTTTGTAAAGCCTGAGGGGGTTCAGAAAAAAGAATGGGGTAATGGAGCTGGTCTTATTAGTCCACATTGTGATGATTTATATGAAGATATTGATACAGATTTGTTGTCTTTAACAACATGTAGAGATAATTTAAAAGTTCCTACCTTGCTTTTTATGGCACATCAAATATTTAATATTTTGTCAGATGATGAAATGGATAGACTCACTAAAATGATGCCTAAATATGTGTCTGGTATAAATGTCAGAGGACTAAAAGAAAGACTTCATCCTGTTTTATCATACAAAAGTAATAGTTTTTCAATTGCATTTGATTTTAGAATTGATGAAATAAATGGTCTACGCATGAAAGTTAAAGATGAAGCTGACTTGGTTGTATTAAAAAAAATTGAGGGACACTTAACCCCTCAGAATGCAATTAAAGTTGGAACTGCTGCTGGAAACTTTGCTATTATTGCAAATAATAAAGTCCTTCATGCTAGAGACTCCATACAAGCTGCTAAAGAATTATGTCCAGGAGATTTACTAACAACACCACGACTTCTGTATAGAAGTAAAGGACCTAGATTGTAATTCTAATAAATTTTCAACTCAAATTAGTGGTGTGATGACATTTGATACAGAAAAAGATGAATTTACTTAACTGGGTGTTGCTTTTAAATTTAAATGAAAAAAAAAAAAAAAATGTGTTTTTATAAATATGCAACACTTTCTGAAAATGTTCTTGCAGTTTAATATTAAGTTCTGCAGATATGGAGCTTGTTTTAACCCACTTTCTGTGTCTTATAATGATTTTAAATGGTAGAATTGACTACCGCAAAATTTTTGTGATTGACTATTAAAAATGTTTAAGAAACTGTTTTATACATTTTGTATGATACTTGTTTAACTTTGTTAAATGCTGCTATATGTGTTTTGCAATATTGTGCATTTGTAATGAATTAACAGTAATAGTGAATGAATTACAGAGGAGAAAGTTTACATTTTTAACGAATTATTTTTTAAGCAAAACATTTTTTTTAAAGTTGCTCATCAGTGTTATATTTAAAAGAATATTCAATATGTGTACTGTTTTTTTAAATATATATATTAAAAAATAAAAAGTATATTTCTTATAAAATATAATGTAAAATCTGCCTGTATGTTAAACAAGTTCAGAATTTTTGTATTATTATCCTTTCAATATAAAAATCAGAATTTCCTTTTTCAAACCATCATTAGAGCCTTTTACCATGTAAATAGTTCAAAACTGCGATTTTTATTTTATAGTTTATGTGAGGACAATGTTTCTCTTCCTGTTATCTTAGAATTAAACTTTTTTTTTTTTTTTTTTTTTTTTTTTTTTTTTTTTTTGGTGAAATTTATTAGTATAAAATCATCCCTGTCTTTTGTACTGAGTTTTAAGACATAATTTTTAATGTAGTTTTTATAAACATGTATGTAGTTATGTTTTTCCCTGGTATGTCTTGAGTTTTGCAATATTTAATTTTTTATTCATATGTTCTTATTCAATGACTGGTGCAAGTTGGCTATACCAAGACTTTTGCTAAATATTAAAATGTTTCCCATAGTTGATTACCTAAATTATGCTAATTTATTTTAATTTAATTTAAATTTCTGAAGTTTTGATTAAAGCATATTATCTTCTATGAGGAGCTGAATGCCAGTTGCTGTTAAAAGTCATATTAATGTATGTATATTCCTTCTTTTTAACAGCATTAGCAATGTTTTTTATATTTGATATTATTTAAAAGTATCACTGTGAATTTAGACTTTTAAATGTACTATTTTAAATACATTTTATTGAATTCATATATAAGCATTTGTGATTCACTATGCATAATCTTGCATTTAACCGCTGTGCTCATAATGTTTCAAATGTTAATATAGAATTTATAATTGGAATCCACTGATATTTGTTTCTTAAACAACATGTATGTAAAAAAAACATATTGAAATCACTTTCGAAAATAATAGCCTGAAGCTGAATGCATCACATTTTGTTGCAGATAAGGTACAGCTACATTTTTTACTATAAACAAAATATGTTCATACTGTGCTGAGTGTTTATTACATAATTTAGCATTGGTAATGATAATTGTATTTAGTTTAAATATTGTTTAGTTTCCATAATCAGTTGAAATCTGTAGTGTTTATAAATGTCAATCACAGACTACTTGTTATAGCATAATATTGTTATATTTTACAATGTTTATAAATAAATAGTATGGATCGTGCCTGTATTTCAGATTACTACATGATCATTTATTATGTTTTTTGTTGAAATCGTATATATGTGTTAAGGTCAATAAAAGAATTTTTTTGACACTTGTTTTATGAATCTTGAATTTTAGTTGTATAAGAATACATTGTTATTCTTCAGTATATTTTCTTATACACTTAATCACATTGCTAGTGACAGAATTATTGGTAACATTATAAAAAAAAAATGTGAAAACTTATTAAACTATAATTAATTTTTTATACATCATTGTATTACAACTTTAAAAAAAGTTCTGTGCATTAAACTAGGAATTCGATGGTGGTAGATATGAGATATTCTAAATGAGAATTATGAATGTTTATATGTAGAGTGATCTTATCAAGCATTGCTAACTTTAGACAAAGCCAATGAAATTTGACTTGATGCTTATTTTTAAACAGGAAGTAAAATAAAAGATTTTGGTGAATTTTCAATTTAGAGTATACTAGCATTTATGATTCTTGCTGACTCATGTAAAATAGACAACTAGCAACCATTCGTTTTATCGTAAAAAGATCAATTCCACTGACATTTACTTCTTATAAAAACATGATCATTCACAAATGTTTTTTAATGTCACAATCCATTTCATTTATTTATTATTCTTGTATTTTATGAAAAAATTTCTGAAATTTTTCCTTTTAAATCTTTTGACTATGTGTGGCCAACATTTTGCGCAAATTAAAAAAAATTAAATCCCTATCCAAGTAAAATAATTTCTTTAAAAATACTTCATATCAAAGATCTTATATCTGTTTATTAAGGTATTAAATAAATTATTTCCATCATTTCAGAATTTAATTTGCAATTAGGTGATATCATTATATTATAAATCTAAGAAACAATATTAATTTATTGCTTTATTTCATGAATACTAGGATGATGCATATTTCTTCCTTAGATTCCCATGGAATGATTTTTATTTTATTTATTTACCTGTTTTTGAATGTGGCAAAAGTATCTCTTGCAAAAAAATAATACGAGAAATTTTTAAGTATATCAGAAAATTTGTTTATTCCAATATAGTTAGAATTAATAATAATAATAAAAAAAATTATCGAATGCTTTTAAAAATTTCAGTATTTATTAAATTCTTTTAATCAAATTGTTATACAGTAAAACTGCATGGAAGAAAAAATAAAATATGTGAGGTGATAAAATTTTATGAAACTATAAATAAGATCTGTTGTTGTGATTCTTCATCAATCGAAACTAAACATTTTGTATGTCAAATATTGGCAAATATATACAGTACTGATTTGTAGTCTTATTGCTTTTTATTAAAACTGATAATCCATGAATGAAATAAAAGTTCATCTGTATTTATATCTTCTCTCCTGTCCACTATGGTTCTATTATTCATGCTGATTGAATGGGATAAAAATAAAACTTGCAATTATTGAGAGTGAGTACATATGTGGGAGTAATATTAGGTTATTGTAAATGAAAGATACTTACTGGGCGAGAAGCAAGAACTATTTAATACAATATATACAGGGTGTTTCTGAATTCAGCTCACAAATTCAGAGGGGTGATAGTAGGTATCAAAAGAATGAAAAATTGCCATAGAACATGAGGTCGCAAACCGGCTTCTACCCATCCAATGTCAAACGATAATGCCAATACACAGTAGATATGCTAACATCTGACTAGTTGCGCAACGACACATTTGTGATAACTGCATATTCTGACCAGTCATGCAGAAATGTTTGTTTAATTTTGTGTTGATTATGGGAACGGTGATTTCGTTTTCTGTGGGAGATCTATTGTTAAAAATAGTTATTTTATTATTTCGTATAATTATATATTAAATATTAAAGAATAATTGCTGTCATTCTTTGAAAGATAACTAAAACTTTATATAAAATTAAGAACTACAGATTTATGTGAACATATTGTTTTAATTTTCGAATAATTGGCCATATGATACAGATACTGTGTAAACACAATTAATAGATACGGTATTAACACAATTAACAGATATGGTGTTAATGCAATTAATTCTTGAAATTCTAATTAGCAAGTTTAGATAAATCATGTACACATGCAGGGAAATTACATTTTTATGAAATAGAATTGAAAAATAAAATAACCTTTAAAAAATCAATTAATCTATTTATATAAGACACAATGAAGAGTCAAAACATTATGATCACCTACTGAATAACATATTGCACAACCTTTGGTCTGCAAAACAGCTGCAACTTGCCTTGGCATGGATGTCACATGTTCTTGGTAGATGACTGTTAAGATCCGGTGAGTTAGGCAGCCAGAACATTAATAGGAATTCATCTTTATGCTCCTTGAACCACACCAACAACAGGGCCAGTGCAACCTGTGCAGTCGCACCTGGTGGCAAAATACGAAATAATAAAAAATAGCAATAGAAATTAAAAAAAACACTAAAATTTTGCCTCCAAAATAGCAAAGGCGGATTTTAGTGGTTTTTTTTTTTTTTTTTTTTTTTTTTTTAATGAAAGGACTTTTCCCCAGCAAAATGCCTAATTAAGGTTTGAAGATAAATAATAATCATTCTTCATGAGATAAATTTACAGAAAAAGATAAAAAAGTTTTCACTCCACAATAATTTTTTTATTTTGTGAAAACTCAGTGTCGAATTTTATGGTTACTTTTTGTTGCATTCTTCTCAGAATTGAAAATCAACTCACTATTGAAGAAGTTATCCTTCCCTATCACATTTATTTTTAACAAGAAATTAGTAGCCACATATTAATTAACTTCAGGTATTTTATATCTTTCATTATGCAGGGTTTGCACACATTTCTACACATGGAAATTAGGACTTTTAAGGGCCATTAATGAAAAAAATTAAGGACCTATGAGCAAATGGGAACTGAATAAATTCAATTAAAAGAATGCCCAAATTTCACTTTTGTAATACTATCCTAAAAATAAAATAGATCCCTAAGTAGTATGCATTATTACTAAACATGAATTAATTAACATAATTATTAATAAGTCAGAGAATAAAATAAACTTTATGCAATTTATCAAGTAGCATTAAATAGTTTACACTTATAATAGTTGGGACATATTTGAAAGAAGATAAGTGACATTAGCGTTTTACTAACAATTAGCTTTATGTCTCATTTTGTCACTAACTTGGTCAGTGTAGAGGTTTAGTAAATAGCAGGTAGCTTTTACGTCAAACGGCAGAGGTTAAAAAGAGAAGCAAGATCATAATCAACATGATTCATAACACAAGACGGAATGTTGTCACCGCTGCTGCTTATCTAGAGAGAGATCTGCTGATTAGAACAGACCTGAAAGGCCTGATGTAGGCACGGTTGGAAAGTGTTGAAAGTTAGTCAGGCTCTGTTTGATGCAATTAGTGTCACAGTTTTGTGTAGAGCTCCAGAGATTGTAACCCATTTAATATACTTTAAGGTTCCAATAAGCCATTAAAGCACCAGAGGTGATAATTTTTTTTGTATTATTTTAAGTCTCACTAGATGCAAAGAATAAGTTTTACTTGAATTTTACATTTTTGTGTTTTATCTTGTGACCACGGTGAGTATTAATGAAAGGCAAGAACTCGCTTTAATATGTAGAGATAATTTTTAAGGGTAAGCAGTTAGTTAAGCTGCAGAGCTGCGATGTTCAAGCTGGTCAAACTGTAAAAATGACTCATAACCCATGGATTACTGCTAAAGTAGATGGTGATGTAATTAGTGGTCATTGCAACTTGCATGGTTTAAGTTTTTTTATTTTACAATTTTTATTTACAATTTAAGTTTTCTATTTGTTGATATTGTTTGAAGTGCCTTTTGTATATATTTTGGAAGAGGATGGATTTCCATATCCTTCAACACATTTCAGTTGTTAAATCACGTTAAATTGTCATACATAATAATAACTAATTCATAATAATAACCACTTCCCCTCTAATTATAGATGAGTGGAGTCTGCTCACATGTATCTGCTCTTTTATTGATCATAGAAGCGGTCATTAAGGAAGGATTAAATATCCCTTCCTGTAGTTCTTTTCATGTTTATGGAATAATACAGCCAAAACGAGTTAGCTGATATTTTTAAAAATAAAACTGCACAATATATATACATGTTTCCTGCTAAATTCTGTTTTATTGTGAAAACTGATAACTCATAGTTTATCAAGTACACTCGAAAACTTTTAAGTCGTTAATATATAAGCATAAATTGAGATCATTTGGCATAATTTTTTTATTATAAAAAATGCTAAAAATTTCATGGTTTAAATTTAAAAAAAAGCCATTGTTCCCACAGGTTGCACCTGTGCCAGTGGGAGAAATGAATTTCAATAAAAAAAAGGAGGAAAAAGGCAGCAATATCTACATCAAATAGCAATTCTTCAAGTCAGCCAACACAGCATGATTATGAGATGTTCTTAAATGCGATAAAAGTAGGTGTTTTAAATTTAGAACATTGATTTTTCAAATGATATTTTATATGATTTATTAATAATGTGATAACCTATTAGATAATAATGATATATTAAAAATCATTAATGTAATTGTTATAATGAGCAACTAGTAGAAACTAAAAACTGATCTGAAAAACTCTGTTATTTACTAACAAACTATTGCATGCTTTTTGTGCTCCAAATATGTATAAAAACATTAAAATGAAAAAAAAAACAGAAAGAAACAGAACCAGGAGATTAAACATTCTGAATGTTTGCACAAAATAATTACATAACTACAGTACAAAGTCTTTAAACCAGACGTCCATAATCCGGACCTCAATGCTACAAACTTTCTGTGCATGCATAAACACATAATGCATTTACGCATGCGTGTTTAATGTGTAACGGACGGTATAAGCTAGGCTAAAATGATTTGTTTCAGTTAATGTTGCAGATTGCGTTGATCTCTAATCTTCTAATTGGATCTAGCTTATTATTTTTTTCAGACTGTTGAAGCAATTTTATAAAAAGTAAGCTTGAACTTTTGATTATGTCAAAAAGAGTTTCCGATTCTGGAGCTGCCAAAGGATCTTCAAAGCGAAAGCATGTTTCGATGTCCATCAAACAAAAAGTGGAATTGCTGCAAAAAATGGATAAAGGCATGAAGAAAGTGACAGAGAGGTTAGTGAAAACGAAAAAATTTCCATGGACAAGTTAGTCGGCATTTTTGGCACAGCAATTACATGCCCTTGACTTGGCGATTTTTTATAACAGCGGAACTTTGTAACTGAACAAGAAATGATGTCTGTTATAGAATTAAAGAGAAAGTATTAGCACATAAAATGAAGCAACTTAAACAACTTACATTGAAAGAAATGTTTAATAAAGTAAACAAATAAATATTAAGATTTTTTTTGTAAATTTTGATTAAGATCATAATTTAGATCATAATTGCTCTTTATTTCATAAATTATGGTTTCATATTTTTAATTTTATAATTTCTTCATGCCATCGTACCAGATATAAATTGATGATCTATAATCCGGACTCGTCGGGACTTCAGCGATTCTGGATTAAGGGTTTTTCCGGATTATAGATCATCAATTTAAATCTGGTACGATGGCATGCAGAAATTATAAAATTAAAAATATGAAACCATAATTTATGAAATAAAGAGCAATTATGCGCATGCGTAAACGCTACGCATCTTGTAGCTTTGAGGTCCAGATTATACATCATTCTGGATTATGAATGTCCGAATTAAAGACTTTGTACTGTATTAGACTACTTTTATATTTTATATCTGTGTGTTGTAATTTATGTACTGAATAGAGGAATATGTATGAATTTACAGGTACATCAGCCAGCAGCTCCAATTTTTTCTGTACTGTCAGATGATGAAGACACAGATACAGCTAGCGAATCTGAAAAAGAAAATACATTTTATCCAAGTACCAGACTTTAAAATGTTTCAGAGCGTCGATCACGATTACCTGCAACTCTTACTCACAATGAACGAATTGAAATTTTAATGAAAAATATTCATATGGATAAAAAAACAAACAAGGAGGTAGAAAAAATACAAGAAACCAACAAGAAAATCAACACTGGTTTAAGCAGCGGCAAGGAAGATTAACTGCTTCTCGTTTTGGGCAAATCTTAAAATGCAAAACTGGTCAGGAGCAACTTATTTAAAAAATAATAGATGCTGGCTGTTCATTTATAAATGAAAATATAAAATGGGGTCTTTTGAATGTAGAAAAGGCAAAAAAATCATTTTATGATTCACAGAAAAATTTGCATGTAAAACTTCATTTTAAATGAAACTGGTTTTTTAATATATGAAAAATGTTATGGTTAATCTTTGGATTATAATAACTTGGCGATTTTTTGGCGAAAATTTGGTGACCAACCCTGCTACAGCAACCTGCTAGTTTTTGTTTGGACGCCATTTTGTTTTCACAAAGGCCCCCCCCCCTTTTTTTTTTTTCCAACTCAACATTTTTTTCCAGCAATCTGCTAGCCGAATTATGCTTATGCTAGAACTTTTATGGAACAAAAGTGCTTAATCATGACGAAGATTAGGTGCGAAATTGGGAGAAAGTGCAGAATCTCAAACTGCTTGCCGTGTTTTTAAGAATTGCACATACACGGTATCCATGCACACGTCGACCTATTTTCACTTAAAAAAAAATCCCCAAATTGCGCACACTCTTGACTTTATCCATGTACACTGCTAAAATCCTAGTAACCTATATCGCCTTACCAAAATGTCGCCAAACTACCTGTTACCATATTCCAAAGATTAGCCAATTTCATTTTTCTATTTACATTTTTTTAAAAAACATCCAAGTGGGTATTTTATATCCATACTCAGCCTTTTATGTAATTACTAGATGTTCATATATATTTATATATACAGTCAAAAGTCTTTAATCCGGACCTCAAAGCTACAAACTTTCTGCGCATGCGTAAACGCATAATGCGTGTACGCATGCGCATAATAACTTTACGCATGCACGTTTAATGTATAACGGACGGTATAAGCTAAGCTAAAATTATCTAATTATCTATTCCAGTTAATGTTGCAGATTGCATTGTTTCTTAATTTTCGAATTGGATCCGGCTTATTATTTTTTGTAGATTGTTAGAGCAATTTTATAAAAGTAAGCTTGAACTTTCGATTATATCAAATAGAATTTCCGATGCTGGAGCTCCCAAATGATCTACAAAGCGAAAGTATGTTTCGATGTCCATCAAACAAAAAGTGGAATTGCTGCAAAAAATGGATAAAGGTATATCCTTTGTTTTTCTAACCATTCCGAAATCTGTTTATCAATTTCACGCTGCTCTGCCAGGGGGGGGTCTAATGTCATGGCGCACAATGAACTGGAAGTTGATCTGTCAGCACTATCCTTATCTTCATGGCAGATGTTTTTATTTTATTCGGCTTATAATTTCTTACTAAATGTAGTATTTCATCTTGATGTACTCAGTCTTTGATATGATTTAAATCAAATCCCTCGTCATTATAAATATCACGAATACACATCAGATAGTTTTCTGGTTGCAATTTATTAATTTCGACTATGTGTAATGTATGCTTTACGCATGCTTGCGTTGAAAGAAATGCTTAATAAAGTAAACAAATAATATTAAACTTTTTTTTTGTAAATTTTGATACCCTTGAGATCATAATTGTTCTTTATTTCATAAATTATGGTTTTATATTTTTAATTTTATAATTTCTGCATGCCATCTTACCAGATTTAAATTGACGATCTATAATCCGGAAAAACCGATAATCCGGAATCACCAAAGTCCCGACGAGTGCGGATTAAAGACTTTTGACTGTATATATATAAAAATAACAATTTAATAAGATTAAATATATGTGGATTTTCACTTTTGAAATTCAACCTCTGATTAGTGTTTCTTTATAACCATCGCCCACCCGCGGCCGAGCGGTAAGATGCTGAACATTGGTAGTTTGGTCCGAGGTTTGAATCCCGCGAACGGGCTGGCTGCATGGGTGTTTTCATGGTTTTCCTCATGTGTAACGTGTATACAAGCCAGTTTCCCTTAGAAAGTCCTCCACGAAGGCATCCCTCCCTTTAGGCAGATAGCCCTCGTGTGCTTTGCCATAATTAAATAATCCAATCCAATCCTTTATAACCATCTTCAGTTTTGTTGCTAAAGAGTAGATGTATTTCTTATAGCAAGTTTTCATGACAGTTTTAAGTTTTTGTTGTGTAAGAAGTGAATGTATTTGCAATGTGTTCTCATATTGTAGAGCTGAAATTTGAAAATACTCATATCTCTGCAGTTAATTAGTATTGCAAACAATACATGTCACAGTGCTTGTTATTTGTATCATGTATTTTTCAACTTTTTTATAATGCAAATGTGTTACATTTTAAAATAAAATTTTGTGTCTTTAAAAAGAAGCTTGTGGTTATTTATGCTCAGTAATCCAACTATAATTCACAAAAAGTGTTGCTTTAATTACTTTGTTTTCAAAGGATGAATTTTAATGTATACTTATTTTTAAAGAAGCACTGTAAGTGAGACTTTTTTATCCATTACTGTCAGTATTCTGATTAGTGGTCATGTTGTTCAAGCTTTGATTATAAATGATGTCTGGTGCATCTAAATAATGTGATTACATTATACTGAATTTCAGCAGATTTATATACATGCTTTGGAAATATTGCTATGCTTGCAGTTAATTAACATACATTTCATGTCCTTTGTTATTATTTGTAACGTGGTCATCAACATTTATTAAATATCAAGTGTGTAACATTTTAAAATGAAGGACGTTTCTTGCTTGGCTGCTTCTATTCATTGTTAAAAATGTAATTGTCTTAACAAAATTGTGGATAATCGATAACAATTATTGTGGGTAATCAACAAGCAATAAAGATATGTTTGGATTATTAAGTAATTTTGTAGTTCTTAAAAAGTTTCCCACATCTTGTACTATGTAATCAATATTTTAGGGATCTTTATCTTTCGCTTTATCTGAAAACTTTGTAAATTTACTTCCAAGTACTTCAGCCTCAGTATATCTGCTACTCTATCTCTGTTAATATACCACTTACCTGTGAGATTACAAATATTACGCTACAATTAGATACCAAATGGAAAGAAAATTTAAGTGGACTTCTGTTGACTTAGTTAAAAAATACTCGTTGTTACATGTACAGTCCTATACAGGAAATGTCCACGTCAAGTAAACAAAATATATCAGAATTTTAGAAGCACCTTTCTCCTGAAAAATTGAACAAATGAGGGATTTTTGTAATACCATTATAGAGCTCATAATACTATTAACATGTATACATTGTTGTTAAACAATGTGATTTAATATCAATAATGGATTTTAGAAATATTAAATTCTGTGCATAGGCCTAGTTATATCTTTTTCAAATAGCACAACCCTTCGCTTTTAGGCTTTATACAGCTAAGAAATTCTGAAAATTTATATGCTTTTTATTTAAAACAGGGCTTCTTAAAATTTTTCCAGTTGCGACCCCTGTACCCCATAATATTTACGAAAATTTTGTGGGACCCCATAAGCATTGTGTAAATCTGACACATGCGCGAGTGAAACCGTCAAATTTTTTACTTGCACTGTAATATGCTACTGCAGTTTTAGGTCATTACCTTTAATTTATAATTTTAAGACATAGAATAATGTGAAAATTTCAAATAAGTAACAGACAAAATGACAGCATCACATGCACATCAAGTAGTAAAATGAATGTTTATATTATAAAAAGAATGCATCGAAATGTTTTCATTTTTTCTTTTTCTGCATTGTCTTATCTTAATCTATTTTTAGGTACATTGTGTAAAAATATTTGGTAATTGTAAAATATTATAATAAGTTAAAGAAATATCAAAACTGCTAACATTTTTGGCGAACCCCTGCTGCAGGTCCAGAGAGTTTAAGAAACTCTAATTTAAAACATTAGACTGAACATAGCCATGTTTTGAATTAAACCTTTATTTATTTACCCTCATTTCCTGTAACAAATGATTGATGAATTATTTTATTATGTTCTGCTAACCTCTGAAAACGAGCAACTTTTCCTGTTTGTCAGTCCTGAACTTTGTGCTTATAAAATTGAAGACACATAATCTGGATGATTAGGATCATCAGATGGTTTACCTGAAAAAAATATGTATAGTATTAGAAACAGAATAGAAAATAGCATTAACTTCTATTTTGACACTTCATACATTAATACTTTTCTATGTACTCTCTTAAAATATTGCAATTTTCTATGTGCAAACTAAGAATAAAAATTACAGTAAAAATATATTAAACAAATGCTCAGTAAAATTTCAATTTGTGTACTGAAAATCATTTGAATTCCAAAAATAAACCAATATAACACGGAAAAAAAATCATCAGCAAATAATATTTTCTCTAAAAAGTGGTCACATGAATATAAAGCTTTCTAAGATTTTGATATATTTAAAAATTCCTAGATGCTTAAAAACTGAAAATTCTATTTAAAGATCATAAAATCATAAGTGAATTCTTAAAACATAATCCCAGTGATGGAAACATAGCCTCAACAGGCGACCATCGCCAAACACCACTGATGCATTTTGTCAAAGATCTTTATGATATATGTTTACATATCATATAGAACATTTTTAATTTAGATAATAAATTAGTTTTAGCTTTCATGCTACAGCCACATAGCATTGACTCAATTTTCTTTTATGCATACTTCTGTATTTATCAGATACAACAAAAAATTAAACACTTCTAAAATAAATTCACAACAGCAACGTAAACAAACACAATATTACTTGAAACCAAGGTTCTTTAATATACTAACCGAAAACCCTGTACAGAGCAGTCAGCTGCAGGTTCACTTGCAAGGGTCAATCTAGAATCATCAAAAACAATATCCCTCATCTCAGTTTCACCGTCTAAACATCTTCAGAGCTTAAGTCATGTCAGGTAAAATATTAACAAAAAAGTGAGAAGTAATATATGCATCTTCCCCCTCATCAGGAGCAACAGAAGATGTGTTAGAAAGTGAAATCTGCCAGGAATTAT